TTTTCTTGCCCTGAAGCTTCTAGGTATCTGTTAGTTCATCTTTAGAATGAAGGATTTGAGTTCTCCCCTCTCCCCCGCCTTCCTGCTTTTCTTTTAGCAGTACTGAGGCTCATACTTGCTAGGTAGATGCTCTCCCCCGTGCGCCCCCCCCCGCCCCGCCCCAGCCCTTTTTGCTCCTGTTTATCTTTCAGAAAGGGTCTTGTACTCTTGCCCAGGGTTGGCCTAGGACTTCTGGATCCTTTACATCTATCTGCCTTCCACTCAGGCATGCACTACCACCTTCTATTGTGTTTCCCTGGCTATGGCCAGACTCTTCCTGACAGTTTCATACTCTCTTTCAGAATGGGAGCTTCTCCTCTACCACTGGGGGACAGCTCAAATCATGCACCTGGTAGGTGACTTAGGAACTTCACCTCAGCCAGGTATCTTCCCGGTTCAACCCTCCGAAGGGAGCCTGATTCCACTGTGGTACAAATGGGCTTTCTATTGGGGTGGGCATGCAGAAAGAGAGAGAAACAGATGGACAGTGTTCAGGAAGCAGATCCAACGTGATTCTGGACTGTTTGTCAGCCAATAGATGAGTTCACCCTAATGCTTGCATTAAGATATCTGTAAACTTTCCGCAGCCTAGATAGTCACTCCCACCCCCACCCCACCACTACAAGCCATTAGAACGGGGAGGGGGAATGTCTCCTCCCCCCATGGAGCCCCTCTCCCTTGCTTTCCTTCCCTGCCTCTTAAGGTGGCCAACACCTGCTGCCTTTGTCAGTCTCTGATTCTAAGCCTCCAGGAACCGGTAAGATTTGCATCTTTAAAAACAAAATCCTGCCAGTGAGCTGTACAAGGTGTGAACATGCCACTTGTTTGTTGCAACGTTTCTGAATACATTTTAAATCAGTTGAATCGCCAGACTCCTCAAGTCCCTTCCTATTACATAATAAACCCCACTGAAGGGTGTGCCTCTAGTTCTCTTCCTCCCCCCCCTCTTGCCTCCAGGCCTCCACACACCTCAGCATCACCCCAGACTTTACCAGGGCCTCCCTGTTGATCTGTTCATCTTTCCAAGGACTTAAATGCAGTTCAAGTCCAGGATCCCCCACCATGGAGCAAATGCCTGTATCTCTCTAAGCTTTATTCCTTTATCTGCAATACCTTGATCGCCACAGCTAAGCCACGCAGCTCAAGGCTTCCTGACATAGATGGGCCCTCACCATCTTTTTTTTTTTTTTAATTCCAGTATGTTTGGATAGCACAGGCTTGATGAGAATTAATTTGAAATCACAACTTTCAAACACATATTGTTCTCTTGAGTATTTGGCCCTCTGATGCAGGTTAAATTCGATGCTTAGCTAAATCAACCGGAGACAAAGTTAGAGCCCTTTCTTAAGCCTCGAATTCAGAGGGTGAATAGCAAAACTACAAAGGTTACACTTTCTGGCTTCAATTCAGAAATGTCAACACATCAAACCCACCACGTTCAGACGCACAGAGACATTCCTTCACAGGCTATAAAGGGCACTTGGGTGTGGAGACATCACTCCAGCAGTCTCACAGCTCATTAAAGCCGGACTCAAAGTTCTGGCCTCAGCTACATAAACAATGCTTTCAAGATGGCACAATTGCCAAGAAACCACAACCTATGCGTGCCAGGTGGTGGTTTCTAAAGCACTGGATGTGTAGATTCTTGCAGACTATGAGCAACCACAGACTACCACAGAGAACCTATGTCTTATTTTGAAAATGGTACAGAAGTAGCATGGGACAAGGGGTGTGTGTGTGTGTGTGTGTGTGTGTGTGTGTGTGTGTGTGTGTGTGTGTGTGTGTGTGTGCGTGCATGCTTGTACTAGATTTGAACTCATAGCCTCTCACTGCCACTTGGCTGGTTCAAGGCTGGTGCTCTACCATTTGAGCCACACCTCCACATTGGGATTTTTGCTAGTTAGTTGGAAATAAAGAATTTCACAGATTTATCCTACCAGGGCTGGCTTCAAACCATGATTCTCTGGATCTCTGCTTCCTCAGTAGCTAGGATTACAGGCATGAGCCACCAGTGCCTGCCAGGGGTTATACCTTTAGCTTGCAAGACTCTCAGGCCTTTCCTGATAATAAGCAGGTGCCTGGAAATGCTGAGGCTTTGGGTAATGAGGATAGGAATGGGGTCACATGTGCAGAAACAATGAGGGTCTGTTGACACTCAGAGGTAGGGCATGACATCCAAGCTAGGATGGAAGGGAGGATGGAGGAGGGAAGGAGTATGCAGATCAGGTCTGGGTGGGCTCAGGAGATAAGGGGAAGAGGCAGAGTAAGGAGTTCACACCTAGTGTTTTGGGAGAATTGACAGCAGATGGGTCCTGTGTTAGAACAACGGAAGGTCAGATTGATCCCACTGGAGAAAATGATAGACCCCGTTAACGACTTGACAGACTGCTGCAGACTCAGTGTTCTGCGGTGGAGTGGGGCACTGGTGGCTCACGCCTATAATCCTAGCTACTCAGGAGGCTGAGATGTGAGGCTTGTGATTTGAAGCCAGCCCAGGCAGGAAATCCCATGAGCCTCTTATCTCACAGTTGTGCAACTTGGGAGCAATGCTGGATGCACAACTGCTACATGAAGTAATGTCTGTGACCAGGATGGAAGCAGATTCCTAGTCGAGAATCCAGGGGTCTCCCTAAGAGGAGCGACGAGGGTCAGCAGCAAGCCACTAGGCCAGGAAGATGGGGTGCCCAAGAAAGGGTTCCAGACCTTTCCAGGCAGAGGGGCTCTGTACCCACAGAGCTGGAAAGGGGAGAGATGGCTGCACATTGGAAGGAGTGAAATAAGCCTAGGTACGCTGGACCCACAGCTGGGCTGGCTCCTAGATCATCAAACCACACCTGCTCCCTTCAGAGGGTTAGACACAATTAGAAATGTGGGACCCAACCCCACGTCTGCATTTGGAGATGGATGTCAGAGTCTTAGGGACCAACACTGCCCACAGGGCTAAAGGACGCTCTGCAGAGGGAGAGGTCCTGGTCCTGGAGGCAGCCTTGCGGATCGGGATGTAACTTGCCACAATAAGGACCACAAAATAGAACTGGCTGAGTCAGGCGCTGGTGACTCACGCCTGCTGTCCTAGCTGCTCAGGAGACTGAGATGGGCCTTTCCTGCCCAGGCTGGCTTTGCGCTGTGATCCTCAGATCTCAGCCTCCAGAGTGGCTGGGATTATAGGCGTGAGCCACCAGCACGTGGCTCCACAGGTATTTTGACAGACCATCAGTGCAGTCAGACTGGCTGGAGAATGGAGGTGGCTGGGAGTGGGGAGGGGGTAAATATGACTTCTCCCTTCCTCCCACACTTGATCAGAGTGTTGAACCTTTCTGAATCTCCATTTCTTCTTCCCAGAGCAGTGCCTCAGTGTGGGGTCCCCAAGAGGACTTCAATAGCTGCTCTGTGTGAGCTCTTTAACGTGGCTCCGGGACATAATAAGTACTCAAGAAATTAATCATTAACCTATCCAAACGACTATCATTACCACCTTCTTCTTACCACAGAGACCCTCACAATGGCAATATTTATGTTCACTTGTCAGCCCCAGTGGGTGGTGTTACAACCCATAATAAAGTCACCAGTTTTGCACTGTACTTAATTGAACAAAGAGATATCCACCCAGCAGAATGGAAGTTCAGATTAATCCAGGTGCAAGATCATCTTCCCAGGCAGAGGACTCCCTGCTGGGTCTGGGGGGGGTGGGCTTCTCACGGTGGGGGAAGGTGCAGCTTTTATTCTTGAATTATGTAAGTTCCATCAAAGTCACAGCAACTCTCCGCCTCTAGGTCACTTCCCCCTGGACAGGGCTAGCTGAGGCACTGCTCTTGTTTATTTATGAAGTCAGGCCTAGCAGTGTGTGTGGTGTGTGTGTGTGTGTGTGTGTGTGTGTGTGTGTGTGTGTGTGTGTGTGTGTTTCAGAAGGAAACTTAAATGCTGTTTAGATAAACAACATGACCTTTATCAATGTCAGGATGAAGAGAAAAATGACACCAGGAAAGAAAAAGGGCAAAACTAGATTCATTAGCCAGGTGCCAGTGGCTCATGCCTGCCATTTTAGCTACTCAGGAAGTTGAGATGTGAGGACCATGATTTCAAGCCAGCCCAGGCAGGAAAGCCCAGGAGACTCTTGTTTCCAGTGAAACACCAAAAAGCCAGAAGTGGAGGTGTAGCTCAAGTGGTAGAGCACTAGCCTTGAGTGAAAAAGGCTCAGAAATAGTGCCTGGGCCCTGAGGTCAAGCCACAGCAGAAAGAGAGAAAGAAAGAAAGAAAGGAAGGAAGGAAGAAAGAAAGAAAGAAAGAAAGAAAGAAAGAAAGAAAGAAAGAAAGAAAGAAAGAAAGAAAGAAAGAAAGAAAAGAAAGAGGGAAGGAAGAAAGAAAGAAAGGAAGGAAGGAAGGAAGGAAGAAAGAAAGGAAGGAAGGAAGAAAGAAAGAAAGAAAGAAAGGAAGGAAGAAAGAAGAAAGAAAGAAAGAAGGAAGGTAGGAAGGAAAGAAAGAAAGAAAGAGAGAGGGAGAGAGGGAGGGAGGAAGGGAAGGGAGGAAGGGAAGGGAAGGGAAGAGAAAGATGAAGGATGGAAGGGAAGGAAGGAGAGAAGGAGGAAGGAAGGAAGGAGAAAAAGAGTAGGCAAGCAAGCAAGCACGAACGACTAGATTCTTTATCATACTCCAAAAACAGATCTCAACTCTACTCCTCAAAGAACCACCCCAGAAGCTGTCACTGTAAGAAAGTTACAATAACTGAATCAGTGCAACAATAATGGAATCATGACCATCTTTCCTGTTCTTTACAGAGGCTGGGTGAATGGAAGTCTCCACGTCTATACCCAGACACATTCAGGCAGAGACATTGCTATCCACCCTTCAGAGTGCATTCAGAACACAAGCACCACAGGTATGAGGGAGGGGAAAGAGAGATGAAGAGAACATGTATTGTGTTTCTCTGAAGACCCAAGCACCAGAGAGAACCGTTTACTTACAGCTTTTGGTTTATACGGAGGCTGAATCTCTTTGCGTTCCAGTTTCTCCCAATCGATGTACCGGAAGAAAGCGTGGTCTTTGATGTCTCGTTCTCCCTCTGGGCCACAGCCCAGACGTTTGCCTGGGTGCTTGGTCATCAGCTTCAAGAGGAAGAAAGCAACAACAATATTGGATTCAGAGGAGGAAACGGGAGATACACGGAAATTATTATCCTGGGGACTGAGGAGGGAAGTACAATGAAGAATCACAACGAATTCGTTGCCCTTTCAAAGGCTGGGCCAGAGCTCAGTTCCAATGCCGTGTTACTCTGCCTAGAGCGAGGGTTCATCTTCCAGGGTTCATCACAAACCCCAGGCCTCATGTGGCCTGAACTGCGACTTAAAAAATATCATGAGGATGTATTTTGGAGTTTTGTGCCATTATTGGTGCATCCAATGAAAACAACTCTGTGATCTTTCCAACTTTTCCTCCCCCCCCCCCAACGAGGGGAAAACCAAACCAGAAACAAACACAAAACAAACCCTGACATTTGACCAAGACAAAAGATTCACTTCTTCAGATACTATTTGCATTTCTCAGTGGAGCACTTGGGGAAATGACAAAACAGAAAGGGGGAAACAAAATATATTAGTCGAACGGACCCATGTTTCAAGTAATTACTTTCAGAAAGCTCATTAAAGAGTCAAAACCTAACCCAGCTCATCAACCTGAATCACACATTATGCTCAACTCCTCCGAGGTATCTTCGTGTTCCGCTTCAATTGCTTAATTATCAAAACTCTGCATCTTTGGGTCTCTGAGCCAGTACTAAATAATAGGCTGTATAGATGCTCCAGACAGACTGTTTCCTATAAATCTAAGGCAGCCTGAAAATATCTCAAGATTCCCATAACTGAATAGCGGGAAAGATGGAGGAACTGATGATTAAAGTGGAAAACAAGGAAAGAAAAAGAAAAAAACAAAAACAGGTGCTGGTGGCTGGTACCTGCAAGCCTAGCTACTTAGGAGTTTGAGATGTGAAGATCATAGTTCAAAGCCAGTTCAGGCAGGAAAGCCCATGAAACTCTTATCTCCAGTTAACCAGCAAAAACCTAGAATTGGAGATGTGGCTTAAGTGCTAGAGAACCAGCATTGAGCAAAAAAAATCTAAGGGACAGTGCCCACGGTACCTAGATATTATTATTATATGTGATTCTTTGCAACAATACTCCGAGCCTTCAGTAGCTATTTCCCCCTCATTTTCTAGATAAAGAAACTGGGTCCAGAGAGGTCAAGTCATTTGCCTAAGATTACACAGCCAAGGAGCAGAGCAGAGCCAAGTTCTGAATAGCTCAGCCAGACTCAGAATTCCTTGGCCTTTTACGGTTGAATCTCTGCTTCTTTTCATTCCAGTTTGCTTTTTAGTTTTGGATAGTCCTAAACTTCAGCCACTTGTACTTGCTGTGTAGATGCTCTACCACTGGAGCCACAATGCCCAGACCCTTTTTATTTTTTTGTAGGTCGTGGGTCTTGAACTTTGGGCTTGGGCGTTGTCCCTGAGCTCTCCAACTCAAGGTGAGTGCTCTACCACTTGAGCCACAGCGCTACTTCTAGTTTTCTGGTGGTTAATTGGAGATAAGAATCTCACGGACTTTCCTGCCTGGGCTGGCTTTGAACCATGATCCTCAGATCTCAGCCTCCTGAGTAGCTAGGATTACAGGCGGGAGCCACCAGTGCTCAGTGCCCAGACCTTTTTTGTTTTTCACTCTTTGTTTCCTAATAAATTTTTTGTTAATTATGCTGGAGCAAGCTTGGATCATGATCCTCCTATTTACACTTCCTAAAGAGCTGGGATTATAAGCAGTGAACCACCACACCTGGCCCGCTTTTGTGTGTGTGTGTGTGTGTGTGTGTGTGTGTGTGTGTAATGGCAGAAAAGAAGACCTTTAATGAGAAAGAAAGATAAAGAATTCCATTTCAGTTGGGAAGGTGACTGTTTTCAAAAGCCCAGCTTGATTTCTATGTAAGCAGGGCTGGGGCCCAGGGAAGCTGGGAGGGGGGGAGGGAGGGAAAGACGGGGGAGGGGGGGAAGGGAGGGGAAGGAGGGGAGGAAGTGCCAAGCCATGAAACGCCACCATGGAAACACACAGCACTCATTTGGACTTTCCTTCCGGTTCCACACTCTGCTCTGCAGTGCCTGAAGCCATGCAGACAGCTGGATGTAATCACTGTTCGGAGTTCTGATCTCTTCCCAGACGCAGCCCCCCGGGGCCTGCTGGCTACTTGGGAAGAGAGGAGGCTGCGTCCGACTGCTTATTTGAGCATCAGTCCCTTCTTCAGCTGGAAGACTCAATCCACCATGGACGCAGCCCACGTCACTCGGAAAAACTCCCCAATGCAACAGTGAGAGTCACCCCCAGTGAATCCTGAAGGGTACAGGTCCTCAGTTCATAGCAAACTGCTCTAGCAGGGAGACTGCTAATTGGAGCTGAAGCCGAATGCAACTGACCTGGAAAAATTCTCTCCTCCATGACCCACTTAGAACCCCCAGCTGTCCAGGCAGGGCTGGTGGGGAAAGGGGAAATAGACCCTGAGCATGCCCTGAGATCCTACTGCGTGCCTACCCTGAGCATGCATCGAGCTCCTACTATGTGCCAGCACAATGAATGGAGCTTCTTTTGAAGTGATGCCATTTTTCCAGTCTTGTCAACGCTGTTCCATGAGTCCTGTTATTCCATGTGCAGAGGCAAAGAAGCCAAAGCCCTGGAAAGTGGAGCTTGTGGCTCAAGTGGTAGAGCGCCAGCCTTGAGCAGAAAAAGCTCAAGGGACAGTATCCAGGTTTTAAGTTCAAGGCTCAGTACTAGTGCACACATGTACAAACCACCACCATCATAGCCACAAGAAACCGAAGTGCTTAAGAGCATGTAGCACCGAGCAGAGAGAGGGCTGGGATTTGCTCTCCCACAGATCTTGGAAAACTTCTATCACCACGAATGCAAACTCAAATGCCCAGAGGAGCCTGGCACAGGACTCGTAAAGTGGTAGTGCCCCTATCAGAAGTATTGAGAAGGGCCCTGGGGTGTGAGTTCTGATCTAAATGATTTCTAGCTATGAACTCATTTAATCATCAAACCACCCCTATGGGTTGTGCTATTGTGGGCTGCCATGTGCCATTCAGGTCAAACAACTTCTTTGTGATCATGCCTAGACATGGGTTTTGAACCCACAGGGAATCTAGACAGAGAGAGCTTTTCTTTTTATTTATTTATTTTTTGAAATTAGAAAGAGGCACGTAAATGGGGATAATGATGTCTAATCCTGCTTCCTGAAGCTCTGGAGGAATGACAGGCCCAAATTGCAAGACCAGAGTTTTCTGGAAAGCTGATTATCTATGGGAAGTCTGATCTTGAAATGTGGGAAATCATTAGAGAAATTAAGAGCTTGGTGCATAACCTCTGCCCCATCCGCTCTCAGTCCAATGTCTACCGTCATCGTGCTGGACATACACACTCCATACCCTCATTTGTCTATGGGCTTTGCCAGGGCTCCCAAGGAACCCCCCCTCCATTTCCATTCTGTTCTATTTTTCTCTGTGTCATACCCACAGAGAAAATATTGCAGCATGAGAAGATGAGGAGAATGTAGCCAAGAATTCAACGCATAGCCTACAAAATTAAGAAGCGTGAGGGAAGGAGTGGGGAGGGGAGAAGGTGGGAAAGGTATGACATGGGTCAAGATGCACCGTATTCATGAACCGCTTTATTATATGACAACTCCTTTGTACCACTAGAGAGCTTTTTTTTTCTTTCTTAAAGAACGAGAAAAACAAAAGAAAATATTGCCAAGCAATTACCAAAAGATGCTAAGCACCGAAAACAATTCACCTGTGGCTTCCTGGGTTAATCTTCATCCGTTGTAAATGGTACCCAAAGCTTAGATGAGAGGGACTTTTGGGGATATGACCAGTCTCAGGCTTGGAAGCTGGCACAGCTGTTTCCACCTGAGCCAAGACTCCCCCTGGATGCCTGATTGTTCCAGTTTCTTTTACCAGTACCAGCTTAGACTTGGGTCAGGAGGATTAGGGTTGGAGCCAGGCAGGGTACCCCAAAGATTGAGGCCCACAACCCTGGTTTCTTCAGACACACAGGAAAAGTCCCAGTGGCTAGGCACAGCCAGGCTGTAACCCTGAGGTCCTTCTGCACATCTGGTCGGTGAGGAAGCCTTGGGAACAGCATCAGCCTTGGCCCATGTTCTCCCTGAGTCTCCTAGCGTTGCTGCCCCATTTCCATCCGAGCTGAAAATTACTTGCTTTGGACAATCTGTTGAAAGGCAGTGGTTTTACAAGCCACAGGGGGAAGTCTTCAAAATCTAAGTGCCCGGATTTAATCTCTGAGGTTAAGGCTGAGGTCTGTGTGCTCAGAGAAATCTCTTCAGGTCATGTGACAGCTATAAGAGGAGGCCTAGCTGTCCGGCTTCGGTCTAACACAAGTGCACCAGAAATATATGTAGTCCAAGACAAGATGCTGGACACAACCTTTACCTGTAAACAAGTGCCCTGATTTCTTTATTGGTACAATTCGCATGTTTACACTGTGGGTGTCCAACTCTGCCTCTCCTCCCAGCCAGTGTGTGTGTGTGTGTGTGTGTGTGTGTGTGTGTGTGTGTGTGTGTGTGTGTGTGTGTGTGCTGGAAGTGTAGGAAAGATCAGAGCTCATCTCCAGAATCCTTTCAAAGTCAATCGCACATGCTATTTTCTTAGCACAGAAGTTATACCTTCCTAGTAGCATTCACTAAGCACACAGGCCGCAGAGAAGGAGACAGGGGGGCTTGAGTTCTGCTCCTTCCCAGGGGTCCTGGCTCTCTGGTCAAGTCTCTGCATTTCCCACCTCTCTCCTCTATGAAGGATTCCTTGTGTGAGTTTGTGGGGCTGGAGCCCAGCCAGCAGCAGGGTGCCTTTGTGGGAATGGGAAGCCATCTCTCCTTGGAGCGGGAGGCTGGCCTCTCAGGTTGGCAGGCAGATGGCGCTCAGTCTTCCTCCCCAGCCCCCTCCCCCATGGGGCACAACCTATACTCCTGTGATGGGCACGCCTGACCCTAGGTTTTAAGGGACTCACCCCTTTGCAGATGGCCACTGCTTCCTTGGACATGGACTTGGGGTAAGCCACATTGTGCTCCATGATGGACTGGAACAGCTCGTCTTCATCCTCCCCTTCAAAAGGTGCCTGTGGGGTGGACAGGAGGGTTGGAGAGGGAAGAGTCTCTGCTGACACTCCCTCTCCCTCTACGCCAGCTACTCCTTTTAACCATGGGTCCTCCTCTGTGCACATGACCACACTCCATGGGGTCCCAAAAAGATGGACCGGGCCAGTGTGCTGGTGACTCATGCTTACAATCCCAGCAACTCAGGAGGCTGAGAGCTGAGGAACAAAGCATGAAGCCAGCCCAGGCAAGAAAAGTCTGGGAGACTCCAATCTACAATTAACCACCCAAACAGCTGGAAGTGGAGTCATGACTCAAGTCGTAGAGCACCCACCTGAGTGGAAAAGCTAAGGGATAGAGTGAGGACCTGAGTTCAAGCCCCAGTATTGAGTACTGGTGTGAGTCCACATGCGCGCGCGCGCACACACACACACACACACACACACACACACACACACACACACAGCTGACTTGACTAACCTCAAAGCCAGAACAATCCCAAAAACTCAAGATTCATGAGCTATTTGGTGCCAAGTACTCACTTTCTTTTCAAGAAACTATGAGAATGGGGGAAGACTTTCCTTTATTTGCACCAATTACCTGTCCAGCCAGCATCTCATACAGCAGGACTCCGAAAGCCCACCAATCCACCGACTTCCCATAAGGCTGATAAGCAATGATCTGCAAAACAGAGCATCCAGTGTTGACAGACCCACAGATCTGAGGGGTGAGAGACCAAACTCACAACTCTCACGGTGAGAATGGACAGAACTGGGGGAGGAGTAGGAAGGAGAGAGAGAGAGAGTTTATTGCCTAAGATTAAAATGATGAGCACAGATCCACATGCAAGAAGCCAGAGTCAGCAAGAGCAGATAGGAAGGGCAGTGTATACCTGAGCTACTTCCTTACCTGAGTTTTCCAGGCAACCAACTGGACATGACACACTCCTTTTTAAGTTCTGAGTATGCTGGATTGTTTTGTAAATTTTGGAACAATGTGTATGGCGTTTTATCTTTTTTTTTAAAAAAAAGGCTATTTTTAATCCTCATGGTAGAGGTAGAACATTTGTACAAGTATTTGAAGATACTTAACCCTACTGAACTAGGTATTTAGAAATGGTTCAGATGATAAATTTGACGACCCGGTGTTATTTTAGTCACCATTAAAAATAAAAGAGAGTTTTCTTTTTTTTTTAAAGCACAGTAATAAACATTTGTGACTGTTTAGGAATTAGAGAGAAGCTGAATGAATAAAAACTGAAAATCACCTGTAATCCTTTGTCATGAGAAAAATTTGTTCTATCTCCTTCCAGATTCTTTTCTAGAAGCATATATTACATGTTGTGTACCTGTGTTTTATATAAAAGCATAAGCAGTGAATGGATCTTCAATAAGGTATGCTTTCTTTATTTTTGTTTTGGCAGTATTGAACTCAGGACCCCTACCTGCTAGGCAGGCATTCTAACACTTGGGTCACAATTCTTAGTCCTTTTTGCCTAAGTTTATTTTTCAGATAAGGTCTCGTGCTTTTGCTCAGGCTGGCCTCAAACTACAATCCTCCTATTGCTACCTTCTGTGTAGTTGATATTACAGGTATGCACCACCATACTTGGCCTTCACGTATGCTATTTATTTAAATTTTCTCTAGTAATGTTTGCTCAGTGAATTCGATATTTGGTTATCTGTCTAGTCATCTTATTTCCATAAGAAGTAGAATTAGTGGCTCAAAGAGTATATACAATGGTAAGGGTTTTGATGATCAACTCTATGACTGTCCATCCTTTGGTACACCGTGGTGAAAATCAGCTGTGTCACAGGGGTAAAACGGTGACTCAGCAGAGGTCAGGGGCTGAGGTTCAAGGATCAGGAGGTCAGAACTCTAGCTGTAGTCCCCAAGTCAATGACCTGGGGTCATCACTTAATATCTTTAAGTCTTGGGGCTTGGAATGAGATTTAGTGGTAGAGTGCTTACTGAGCATGCACCAAGCCCTGGGTTTGATTCCTCAGTACCACATAAACAGAAAAAGCCAGAAGTGATGCTGTGCTCAAGTGGTAGAGCACTAACCTTGAGCAAAAGAAGCTCAGGGACAGTGCCCAGGCCCTGAGTTCAAGCCCCAGGACTGGCAAAAATAGTCTCTCTTTCTTCTTCAATGAGGTGAATTTACTGGATAGTTCTGTCAGGGATTTTGTGAGGAAGAATGGGAGACATGGAGCTTCTCACAATAGAGCCCTCACAATGCTGGCTTTTTCTAGAACCTTCTCTACAGTTGCTGCTCAGTTTGTGCAGTAAAGAATTCTGGAGCAAACTTGGCTGCAAAAGAAATGCCTCTTTCTCAAATTTTATCCTGCAGCTCAGCATCCACTATGATATTAGAAATGCAGAAATGTTGGTGAGTAGACACAAAATTTTGGATAAGTGGAATCAATTCAAGAAGCTTGTGGTAGAAGATAGCAACTGCCATTAACAACAATAAATTTTATGTGTAAAATGCATCGCTATGCATGTAGCTTTTAAGAAAATGTTCTCGCCTCCAAAGGTCAATGAAGATGTACATATGCGAATTAACTTGTTTTAGTCTGGCCACCTGTTTCCATATGTCAAAACATGTTGTACACAATTGACATACATCACTGCCGTTCGTCAATTAAAAATAAGCAAACAAGGCTGGGTACCCGTGACTCATGCCCACAATCCTAGCTATTCAGGAGGCTGAGATCTAAAGATCATGGTTCAAAGCCAGCCCGGTACAAGAAACTCTGCCAAGACTCTTATTTCTAACTACCAAAAAAAGCTAAAAGTAGAGCTGTGATTCAAGTGGTAGAGCAATAGCAACTAGCCTTAAGTTAAAAAAAAAAAAAAAAGCTCAGGGACAGTACCCAATCCCTGACTTCAAGCCCAGGACCAGTACAAAAATAAATAAACAAATAAGTAAGTAAATAAATAAATAAATACCCAGACACCATTGGCTCAGATGTATAATCCGAGCTATGCAGGAGGCTGAGATCTATGGATCATGGTTTGACCTTAACCCCAGGCAAGAAAGTCTGTGAGGCTCTTATCTCCAATAAACTACCAAAAAAGCCAGAAGTAAAGCTATAGCTCAAGTGGCAGAGTGCTTGCCTTGAGCAAAAAGAAGCTCAGGAACAGCATCCTTGAGTTCAAGCCCCCACACTGGGCACAAAATAAATAAGAAACAACTAAGAAAAAAATGTGCTCCCAGGAGAAGTGTCTGTAAGACACAAAAACTTTCAGTGAGAGGATTTCTCAGTGGAAGTGCATTCACACGTTTAAGGTAGTTCATGTCTTGACCTGCAGTAGATTTGGGATTTCTTCCAATCTAAGGCTCTGTGTGTGTGTGTGTGTGTGCGCGTGTGCGTGAGTGTGATGGGGGGGTGCTCCCCCAAGATACCACACTCATGGGCCTTGGGATCCAATATAAACTACTGGAAGCCATGGATCTGGTGCCCCCAGAGATTGCAATTCAGTGGATCTAGGGTAACACTTGACATTTTCAAAGCTTCCTCTCTGATCTTATGTTTGGACTATCACACTCATGACATATTGAGGAGCCATGTTCTCCAGTGTATCTGGTATTCAAATTAGTTAACCCAATGATAACTGACTAAAGGATGTTACACAGGGAAATCTCTGCAAGGCCTACTCATGAGTTACTTTTAAAAAAAAAGGCTTAATCCTTGGGGCTGGGAAGATGGCTCAGTGGTAGAATGCTTGCCTTGCATGCATGAGGCCCTGGGTTCAATTCCTCAGCACCACATAAGCAGAAAAGGCTGGAAATGGCGCTGTGGCTCAAGTGGTAGAGTGCTAGCCTTGAGCTGAAGAGCTGAGGGGCAGTGCCCAGGCCCAGAGTTCAGGCCCCACAACTGACAAAAAAAGAAAAAAGAAAAAGAAAGAAAGAAAAGAAAAGACAAGAAAAAAAGGCTCAACCCTGTAATTCTAGCTACTCAGGAGGCTGAGATTTGAGGAACAAGGTTCAAAGCCAGCCTAAGCAGGAAAATCCAAGAGACTCGTCTCCAATTAACTACTAAAAAGCTGAAAACAGCACTGTAGCTCAAAGAGCACTAGGCTTGAGCACAGAAGTTCAGGGACAGCATCCAGTCCCTGAGTTCAAGCACCAGAACTGGCACACACACACACACACACACACACACACACACACATGCACGCACGCACACACACAAACACAAAGATTACCTTATTATGATTCAATTAATACGAGAATACAGTTACCTTATAGAAAATATAAATAGTAGCCAGAGGAAATAAAATTCCCCTCTTATCTGCAATCTCCCAGGACTTTTTTTTAAACATGCCAAATTACACTTTTGCATGCATAATTACATATTCAAAAAACACAAAGAGCACATTCTGTGTATTACCACTTATATACACAAAGAGCATCATCTTGTGTTTATCATTCTGTACAGGATTTTCCCCCTCATCACAACATGCTTAGAAGCTCTTCCTGTGTCCACATATATGTATCCCTTACCTTTATCCCGACTGAGGCATATTGTTTCCAGTCTGTCAGTAAAGATGGACTCAACTTTCTAAGGGCGGTAGAGTATTTCCTAACATGAATGTACACTTAGCAAGTCACTTCTTTATTGAGAGTCAATGAGATTGCCTCCTATATTTTTTCATTGTTGAAAGTAATGCTAAAATAAATGTGAGAAGAAGGAATACTTCCTTCTCCCTAATACATGTGTGTATACGTGTGTATGTGTGTGTGTGCATGCACACACATACACTAGATTCCTGGAGAAGTCACTGCTTTGGCATAAGAGTCTGGAGATCCTAAACTTTATGCCATACTGTTTAGTTTCATGGGAAATCTTTCACCATTGTTATATATCAGGTTACTGATGCTCTCTCTCTCTCTCTCTCTGTGTATATATATATATATATATATATATATATATATCTCACACACACACACACACACACAAAAAAAAAACACAAAGAGGCCATTCTAGAACACTGCTTTCTATAACTATATTATGTTTACAGCTCCTTTCCTTAAAAAAAAATCTACCACTAAGCTGCAACATGCTGCTTTTCCAAGCACTAGTTCAAAGGGAAAGGCAGAGGGGTCTTCTGGCTTTGAGCTGAGCCATATTGGCAAATATCCATCCATTGGCCATTCCTTTAAGAAGACAGGAGGGCAGTACAAATGAATTCCATGCTTGCAGCCAGGTGTTGGTGGTTCACACTGGTAATCTTAGCTGCTCAAGAAGCTGAGATCTAAGGATCATGATTGAAAGCCAGCACGAGCAGAAAAGTCCATGAGACTCTGATTTCCAATTAATCAAAAACATGCCGAAAGTGCAATTGGGGCTCAAGTGGTAGAGCCACCAGTGATGAGAGAAAAAGCTTCTGGGACAGTGGCCAGGCCCTGAGTTCAAGCTCCAGTGTTAAGGGGAAAAAAAATTGTAGTCTTTCATATTCATCTCCACCACAAAAAGAGAAATTCAGAGTTTGTCAGGATTCATCACAACCGCTACATACACAGAACCCAGTCCCTGTGTCATATGTCAGCCCTGGGAAATCTGTTCTCTCTCTGTCTCTCTCCCAACAAACACTTCGGTGTCATAATTAGGAGGTATCGTGTGGCTGGGAGCCATCACAGCTTGACAAAGAATGTTACTGATATGTGTTGGATGATGGTTCTTTTTTACTGATGTGCTGGGTGGTTCTTTTGAGTTTTATTTAAAAATGTCTCCCAACCCCCTCCCCTCCCCGCCCCCGATGTATTTTGGGCTTGAGCTTCTGGATGAGTGCTAAGTTAATTTGCATGTGTGATCTCAAAAGAACAACGTGGAGTATAAAAACGAGGACCAGGAGTCCCAGGTTGCTGGGTGCCACTGAGACCTTCCCTCCCCCAGTCCTCACCCAGTGCCAGCCGGGTGCAGGGTACTGAAGGCCTGTGTGTGTGTGTGTGTGTGTGTGTGTGTGCGCATGCGCGCGTGTGCATGCATGCATGCATCCGTGCCTGCGTGCGAATCCCCACCGGCACTCACCTCTGGGGCAATGTAGTCTGGAGTACCGCAGAAGGTCTTGGTGGTCACCCCCTCCCAGATGTTCTCTTTACACATGCCGAAGTCGGCAATCTTGATGTGGCCCTCGGAATCCAGCATGACGTTGTCAAGTTTTAGGTCACTGGGGCAGACATGAGAATTCAGGGATTTCATTAAAACACTGTTTAGTTCAAGCCAATCAGCTGCCACTCATACGTAACACCATCCACCTGTGCAAGGTGTTGCAGGGGCACGAAGGTCAGTGTAAATCAGCCTGTGCCCTTGGCATTTGGCCATCTGGCAAGGAGATTGAAAAGCATGGATGAAAGACACAGATCTCCAAGCATGTCCTTTAGAGAGAGAGAGATAGATGGATGGATGGATGGATGGATGGACGAATGGACAGACGGATGGACAGATGAATGGATGGATACATATATACATACATGCATACATACATAGTCTTCTGCTTTGGCCCAGGCTAGACTCTGGCAGGGATCTCCCTACCTCCACTTCCTAAGCAGTTGGGATTACAGGCATGAGCCACCATGACCAGCCTGTGCTTTCACATTTTCTGCAGAGTCAACTGTGCCAAGTGCCTCAGAGGGCTCTGAGAAGAGAGAGATCTGCAGGAAGTGATGTGAAGGCCCAGCCTTCACACAGAGGCCTCCTGGATCCCAAGACACTACCTCTGCAAGATGATCTCGTAGGAGTCTGTACTGTAGACTTGTCACAAAACTATTATTTTTGCAATGGCTCTGAAGATCATGGAGAGAAACCTATTTAAACCCCCAGACGCTCCAAGCTCCCCCAAGTCATTTGATATAGAGGGGACCCAGGAATTTCTATGGTTTCTTTCAGTCACGGGAGATTGTTGCACACCAATTATGTGAATGTGCAATTCCACCTACTATGCAACACACAGTTCCTCTAGCTAGGTCTACTGTCTATGAACAAGATAAAGTAAGGATACTACTTCTGTTGGTACTAAATTCTAGTGTAGGAGCAGAAGATAACAGGTATTTAAACCTGTAAGCAGGGATACGGTGGGTTCTGACAGGTGATATAACAAAAAATGGAGGTAATAATGGAGACTAAGCAGAGCAGTAGGAAAACTCCTCTGTAGTAATGTTTGAGTTTAACCTAAGACATATGCAATATGCTCTCATTCACCTAACTCAACCTATCTAGTGGGGGTTGTTTGTTGGTTTTTTTTGTTTTTGTTTTGTTTTGTTTTGGGGGCTTGAACTCTGGACCTGGGTGCTGTCCCTGAGCTTCTTTTGCTCCAGGTTAGCACTCTACCACTTGAACCACAGTGCCACTTCCAGCTTTCTTGCTGGTTTGTTGGAGATAAGCATTTCATGGAATTTCCTGCCTGGGTTGGCTTCAAACCATGATCCTTAGCTCTCAGCCTCCTGAGTAGCTAGGATGACAGGTGTGAGCCGCTGGTGCCTGGATCCAGTATTAATACTTTGTGTTTTGTAACCAGGGGACAGACGTACTCTAATCCTAACTCAAGATGAAGACATTTCCTGGAGATAAAAATGTCCACTGCAGGGCTGGGAAGTTGGCTCAGTGGTAGAGCGCTTGCCTTGCATGCATGAGGCCCTGGGTTCGATTCCTCAGCACCACATAAGCAAAAAGAAAAAAGCCGGAAGTGGCGCTGTGGCTCAAGTGGTAGAGTGCTAGCCTTGAGCTGAAGAGCTGAGGGACAGCGCCCAGGCCTAGAGTTCAGGCCCCATGACCGGATCCCCCCCGAAAAAAATGTCCACTGCTCAACACAGAGCTCGTCTCTAAACCATCATGACCGGGCTTCGGCTGTGTGGTGTCTGCCTAGTTCTAGCATCTTAGATGAAAGTATGTTATTACTTCTTTGAAAATCACCCTTCAGAGTTTAACAAAATGAATACCAGAAAGCAGAAACCTGTGTTGTCAGGAGGGAAAGAGATGGAGTGGAGGGAGGGCAGATCAATGGAGAGAGAAAAGGCAGCTGAATACAGTTGTAATATTCAATGTGCATATGTGGAAATGGAATGGGGGGTTGGTCAAGAGGCATTGCACTCCTAAACTGCTATGTTGAATTGAAGCCCCTTTGCACGACCATTTAAAGATAACTTGTAAAGTTTTCAAAAGAAAATCCACCCTCTACTATTTCCTGACCCATGCAAAGTGGGCAGTGCTGACTTTAACTTTTGACTCAAGGAGTGGTCACATGGCTTGTTCTAGCCAATGGGGAGACTTCAGTTTGCTGGGCGTACAAGAAGGTGTATGACCCCATCTGGGACCATGCAAACACTGCCATTTGTACAGAGACAAGAAAGCTAGCAAAGGTAATGCAAGTAATGCAAGCCTCCAAGGGAAGGTGAGTCCCTGCCTCGACCCAGGACTGAAGTCAGATCAGTCCCTGGGCTTCCTAGTGATGGCAGCCAATATTTATCAGCCAGCTTTAACATACAGTAGTTGGAATTGAGTTGCTGACCGCAGTTCCCACTTAAAGGACACAACCTGGAAATAGATCCTGATTTGCCCATGGGAGGTCCACTTGCTCTGATTGGCCCAGCCATATTCCCATTCCCGGTATGATTGACGCTGTCCATGGTACTTACTTCATAGCCAGCCTTTATGCTTATGTGCAAGCCATGCTGCCCTTCCAATGCAGCTTGGAACTTAGAAATGCTTACGTAGCGACTTGCTTTAGCTAAGCCACTAGATCTCTTACAAGTGTGATTTTAATCAGCATGACATCTCCTCTCAGCTTGACCACATACCCTGAGACAGGCAGGTGGACCAACTAGAGAAATGATTTAAAAAAAAACAAAACAAAACTGTGTCTAACATAAAAATGGAGATTCAGGTATCAAGAGTGAGCAGGTCTTAAGAGCCAGAGGACCCCCTGTTCTATTCATTTCCACATAACAGTGCTTAGATATTGTACTCTCTTCTTTTGTTCCATGGACTAAATCCTGGTTCTTTCTTCAAAGGGGAGCTGGAGCAATTGTTTTCATTTGCAGAAATCCATTGGGGCAGAATCAGCACAAAATTACAGAGACAGTGATCGATAAGTCAGACATGACATTTGACAGACAAGGTCATTCTCCTCTCCTCCAATGTGTCCAGACATGATCCTCAGAAAGAGGAACTCTAACTTAATTCCTTATCCTCGTTCCTTAACAACAGTCCAGTTAACTAAAGAAATAAATGGAGGAGGGGGTGATCTGTTAAACAACTTACCATTTTGAAGGTAACTGATTTATCTTTTATTATGCAATTTTCTACAGTTTTCAAATTCAAAAATTCTAGGTGTGTGCGTGTGCGTGCGTGCATGTGTGCGTGCGTGCATGCGTGCGTGTGTGTGTGTGTGTGTGTATGTGTGTGTGTGTGTGCTGGTCCTGAGGATTGAACTCGGAAGCATGGGCATTGCCATTGAGGTTTTATCCTCAGGGCCAGTACTCTGCCACCTGAGCCACAATTCCACTTCTGTCAGAGATAAGAGTCTCATGAACTATCCTATCCAGGCTGGTTTTGAACTATGACCCTCAGGTCTCAGCTTCCTGAGTAGCTAGGGTTACAGGTATAAGCCACCAGCACCCAGTTCAGCTTTTTAAAAATTAATTTGTATTCAGTTTTTGTTTATGTGGTACTAAGGAATCAAACCCAGGACCTCATGCAGGCTAGGCAAGCACTCTGCCACTAAGTCACATTCCCAACTCAAGTTATTTTTTCTTTTTGATAGCCAGCAACAGAAATATTTTAGTAACTTTGATCTGAAAGGGAACCTAGAACAGGTCATTAGGCTGTTCATGAAGTCTCTGAGGAGCCTGGAGAGCTAAGCTTGGGGCTCTACAATCCAGGATAAGACTCACTGCAATGCAGCACTGGTCCACTGAAGATATCACCAATGCTTTCATTATACACAAACATCACCTTTTGCTTCAGAAAGCCTTAAATCTGCACTCCAAGTTGCTGCCAAGAGCCACTTCTATTGCTTCTGGAAACTAGAGAACGCTGAAGACTATCGACACTCTCAGGTCTGTAGTCCTAGCTCGGTCTCTAGCTTCTGATTCAAGGTCACAGGTGAGATTGTCAGAGTTTCCAAGTCTGAATCATGAGCTTGTGCTTGCTACAGGTAGGCCATGCACATGAGCCTCGGGCTCATGACAGTAGGAAATGGGCTCTGTTCTCACACACAAAGAGCAGGCATTACTACGCTGACTGGCTTAAAATGCTGATAAAATATTAAAAACCATATTAACTCACTGGTTACCAGTGGCTGACACCTGTAATCCTAGCTACTCAAGAGGCTGAGATCTGAGGACCATGCTTCATAGTCAGCCCGGGCAGAAAGGGCAGAAAAGTTTCCACGAGACTCTTATCTTCAGCTGACCACTCAAAAACCAGAAGTAGCGCTGTGGCTCAAGTGATAGAGCACTAGCCTCAAGCACAAAGAGGCTCAGGGACAGCACTTAGGCCTTGAGTTCAAGCCCCACAACCAACCAAAAAAGCCCAAACACACAAAAAATACACATATTACCAATAGAGGATGAAGCCATGCCCCAACCGCTCATGCCTGTAATTCTAGATACTCAAGAGGCTGAGATCTGAGGATGGTGGTTCAAAGCCAGCCCTGGCAGGAAAGTCTGACTCTTATCTCCAATTAACCAGAATGTCAGCCTTGCATAAAGCTCAGAGACAGCACCCAAGGGCCTGAGTTGAAGCTCCAGGATCGGCAATAATAATAGTAATAATAAAAGAATGAAAGAGGAAATTTGTAGATGGTCTAGGAAAAAGAAAACGAGTAGATGTGGTCTTAGCACCTAGTACGTGCACTATTGGGTTTTAGACTCTGGCTGGCCAATTTCCTAAGTCCTCAGTTCCCAGCTCTCTATCCAGTCCTCTGCTAGATGGGAAAGTTGCCCAGAATCCCCAACCCAGTTGACAAGAACTGTTCATTATTTCTTCTCTGGCTTCCTATCAAGGGGCTGGAGTTTCTTCTAACACACTCGTGACGCTACACTTCATCTTCTTGAGAGGTGAGTTGGTTCTATTCTTCTGACTCTTTTGGAGTACTTCCTGCACAGAGCTGAGGACTTCATGTTGACCCTGATGTGAAAACCGTGTGGAGAGTTCAAGATTGCCTATGAGCCCCGCTACACTGCCTGGTGAAGTGACCACTAATGTTGTCGACCTGAATTTAAGGTCATGTCTTATGGAAGATAACAGATGCTGGTGGAGACCAGAATTCTTCTCACTCTGATCGTCGAGAGCCCCTGGGGATGTACCAGCCTTACAGGTTCCAATTTGTGTTCACATGGTATTGCACATTTACCGAGGGTAAACACGGGCAGGGTGACCACATTATTTAACATTGAAATTCTTCTTCTTTCTGCTTTTTGTTGGTGGTGGTGATGGCTGTGTTTGAACTCAGGGCCTGGTGCTGTCTCTGAGCTTTTCTGCTCAAGGCTAGCCTCAGCACCACTTCTGGTTTTCTGGTGGTTCTTTGAAGATAAGAGTCTCATGGACTTTCCTGCCCAGGCTGGCTTTGGATTGTGATCCTCAGATCTCAGCCTCCTGAGTAGCTTATGATTACAGGCATGAGCCACCACTAGAGTTGAAACTCCCTGAGGGAAAGACTTTTCATCAGTTTTCTTCCTTGCTGGATTCCCTCTGCCCAGAAACTAAAGCTCTGGTGTGTCGATTCTAAGACTTGAATTCAAGGCCTTTGACCCTTGCTTGGCTTTTTCCTCTCAAGGCTGGCACACTCTACCACTTGTGCCACACCTTTACCCCCAGCTTTTTGCTAGTCAATTGAACATAAGGGTCTCATGGACTTTTTTTTGTGTGTGCCTGGGTTGGCTTTAAGCTTAATCCCCAGACTAGCTAGGATTACCGGCATGAGCCACCAGTGCTGGGCTTGTCCCAGTTGCTTGATAAATATTTGTCAAACTAATAAATGAAATGGGATTTATGGCTGTACGTGATCTTTTAAATAGACCCTCCCCCATAGCAAGAGCCCTATGGAAGCCTGCCAGGTTACATAATAAAAGTCAGCCCAAGCCCCCATGCTGAAGCCTTGTTGTGCCAGGAGATCTAGATGCCCTGCACTTGCTAATGAGTCGCAGCCTCCAGCTCAACAGTGTGCCTTGTCTGAAAGATAAAACGCGATGACTCATCCAGCTATGATCATACGCTTGCTCCTCCAAAAAACCCAGCAAATGCCAACTTCTGAACTTAATCCCGTCTTTCAGAGCAAGCCACTCGGAGATCTATTGCAGAAAGAAAAATGTTTCATAATAATAGGCACTCTCTGCCAGCCAAGATTCTTGCTTTATTTCTCTCCAAATGTGGGGTCCACAGGCAAGAGAAAGAGGTGTGAGGACCCTAGAGGTAGGCTTCCTCTTCCTGGGGCCTGAGCAATCTCTCTGTTGGAGCTCCCCGCTCATCATTAGTGACACGGTCCATGGAGCATTTCCCTGTCACCCTATAGAGCTGTCCAAACACTGCAAGGGCAGTGGGCAATGTTGCCTACAGGAACACATGTCCATGTGAATACTGGAAGATTCCTCCCCCAGTATGGATTCTAATTAAATAAAAAAAAAACCAAGAACAGTTGAAGAGCAAGGCAGGGGAGGGAGGAGCTGAGAGAGATGATGGAGAAAGAGGGGAGAAAAAAAGACGTCTGCTTACTTACCGGTAAATGATCCCTTTGCTCTGTAAGAAGAACAGACCAATGGCAATTTCTGCAGCGTAGAATCTGAAATCATAATCAACAACAACTACACAAAAAGAAGTGATGGAGAAATTCAAGGTCATCTTATGCTTGGTACTCCTCCAGAGTTTAAGACGACAGTGAGCCAGGTGCCAGCCATTAACATCCCGCCATGGATGGTCAGCTACACTGCTCATAAAATGCTGACTGTGGGTGGGTGGATGGCAAGGAGTCTGCCCTGAGGCGTGGGGTGGGTAGGGAAAGAGAATTTGTGACCATAACAAGCTACAATATCTTAGGAGGGATGGTTAATCCTCTGGTGGAGGTTTACCATCCTCTTAGAATCATCTTACTTGTTTTTTTGGTCTGAGAGCAGAACTCGAACTCAGTACCCGATGCTTTCACTCACTGGCTAGCGCTTGACCCACTGAGCCATACCTCCAACTCCCTTAGTGTCACTTGAAGCATCATCAGGTTTGATTCTAAGGATAACCCCACAACGTAGGTACCACTAGGACCTCTTGCTCTTCAAATGGGGAAAATGGAGGTTTAGAGGAACTCTTCAGAGAAGCTTGGTCAAATACATAGCAAATGAATGGCCCAGCCAGGATTGGAAATATGTCTGAACTGTAAGCTCTTGGTGAAGGGCCATCAAGGAAGAAAGAGATCTGGAGGGAACTAGAAAGCCCAGTTATACCACTAGGGGTTGTGCGGGAACTCTGTGTGTTCCCAACACTATGTGTCACATGGCGATGAAGTGAACCTTGTGGCCAATCAGTAATAAGAGTCAACACTTACAGTCCCATTAGCATTGTTCCGAGAGATAGGAATGACCTGACTTGGAAACGGACACAGAAGGGCAAACCCTACCTGACAGGTGGAAGAGAGGAGGTGGGGTGATCAGAACAGGAGGCAGTTAGGCTCTGGAATGGTGGGGTAGAAGGACCTAGACAAGCCATTGGGGATTTCTGGAAGGGGCAATCGATCTTAGCAAGTTTTTCAGGAGGGTGCTAATACTCGTTCCCATGGTTGACTGCATTCCTATTTATACACAGGATTCCAAGCAAGTAATGGGGGAGATTTTAAAAGGAGGAGGAGGAGGAGAAAGAAACAAGGAGATGGAGGAGGAGGAGGAGGAGGAGGAGG